ATTGTATGTAACCAAATTAGCTTATTAATTGTTCTGCCAGCCTTTGAGATGTTTGTGATTCTTATTTTGTTTTTGACATTTCTCTGGTGACATTTGCAATACTGTCTGCTCAAAGATCATCTATCAATCACAGAGTGCATCTTGCCTCTTTTTTACATTTTTTGTTGATAAAATGTGCATCATCTCTGGTCACTGAAATTATCACCCAGGCCAGTAAATGTATATCAGCTGTCTTATTCCAGATATTAGTGCTGAACGATGTTTGAGCACATTTAATTATGTTTTCATTAGTGGTTATTTTGCCCTCTAAACCTTTGATTCTCTTGCACCTCCTTCTTCTTGGTTTTGACTCAGTGTCTTTTGTCTCGTCTATCTCCTCTCACCTCCAGATAACACCATCCATCTCACTAGTCTCACGGCTGTCTCAGACAGTGGCGCTGTTACAGCGGCAGGACTTTGCTCTTTCTTCATTATCCAGCAGTCTGGCCTGAGATGTGACGAGCTGGATGGTTGTTTTATTACCAGCTATAACTCCACATGGGTGGACGATGACAAAACACCCACACTGTCCCAAAGATTTATTTTAGAGAGGGGGGTCAATCATGTTCTCCCTCTTTAATCAGTAAATCCAGTCCATAATTTCCTTCTTTAATCACAGAGGGGGGCGTAAATCTCCCGTAAGGAGGCCTTTCTCCCTCCGCCTGATAGATGCTCTGTCTCACCGCTCGCCTAAGTAGTCTCCGATGACGGTCTTGTTGAGGCCCTCGCCTTTGTAGAGGAACTGAGCGATGTCTTCGGGAGTGTGCTGGAGGAGGTCGTTCTCCAGCAGGAACTGGATTCCCTGGAGAGGAAGAGGAGGAAACAGAATGGCTGTTCATCTCAATCATGGCTGGATGATGGAAACTGACAAGATTTCACAACCGAGGATGGATCGCTCTTCACTCCGGCACAGAGAATCATTCATGTCAAGGCTGCCGAGACACTGTCAGCTGTGGGGGTTTATGATGGGAGCGTCGGGCTGTTTCAGAACACAGACAAAAAAAAAAAACACAGTCGAGTACCTTTTTGGGATCCATGTTGAATTTCTTCCTCCCCATCGCGATCTGTTTGTTTCTCTGGGATGTTTTACTGGAACACAAATGTGGATATTTAACCGAGAGACTTACTTTATTTACCTTAAACAACACTGAAAATAACAGATTGTTAAGCGTCTCGATGTCAAACATTTTAATATACTGAAGAGATTATTTCCTGCCACATCTGTTGTGCTCATTATGCGCCTGCGTGTTCCTGCTTGAAGCTAATCTCTAAAACATACACACAAGCTCAATAAAATACGTTTACAGACTGTAAATGTGTGTAATGACGGTGACAGACAGAGCAGACATGACCTTAGTAACAAATAACACACACTGAGGACACTCGACGATTTATCAAAGGACAACATGCCTCATTGATTTATACGAGCAAAGACGCTACATTGATTGTTCAAACCCTTGTCGAGTGACGCTGGTGACATTTGGTGTTAACAACGGGCACAATAACTTATCTATGCAAACAGCCAGGTAGATATGGTTGACATGACAACCGTGCAACCATATATAACCGCATCCTGTCCAGGTACATCTGCTTTAGCACATCATTCATAACGAAAAGCAGCTTGTTATCCAGCTGCGTTTGACGTCTCTTTGACCATGCAAATCCTCAACCCAACTTAAATGAAGCCAGATATGAGCTACGGTTCCTGTGAAGACTATTTATATCTGCAGGAAATAAATAGAATTAAAGTTTTATAGTGCTGTAGAGGTCATAGATGTCATGTTCTTTATGTTTTGGGTTGGTTTTCGGGGCATTTTTGTGACTTGAGAAACAGTTTACATTCTAAAAAAATCGATTTTCTTTGAGTTTTCATAGGGTGACAGTGTTTTTGATTCTGCATAACTGCTTTTGTAAAATCAAGTTTTGATCCAAGTGAAAGGATTCAGGATTCATGTACATGCACATTTCCACTAGAGGTGGACTGGTGTAGTTTTTCAAGACTGATATAGATCATTAATAATTAGCAATCAAAGGAGATCGACAGCATATTTGGAAACTTTGGATAATATAGTTGGGAAAGACATACTGTAATGAACATTTGGTGTCAAAATTTGGAAAAAAAACACAAACACAAAACTTAACTGACATGCTTTTGTTTTATACATGTGCTTCAACAAAAGAGAACCTTTCAATATTTATCCTTCAGAGTGACTATAGAAAGGGTCGGCGGCTGCACCAGAGCCAAAGTGGCACACAGTTAATGTATTTTATTAGGAATTGGTTAAAAAAACAATGATAATTTGAAAAATACTTCACATCATATTCAATAATTAGTCAACCCCTTAGTGACGTATGTACATTATTTATGACTCTGCACATTGTTTATATAAGATGTAAATAATCTTTATTCTTATTCTTTTTTGATAATATTCATGACTGTACATTACGTTATTTCTGACGATCACTTATTTGACATCACTGATATGTTACGTGAACTGTATATGCTCGTCTTTGACAACTGCATGTCTTTTTTTTTAAGCACCGTTGTGGATGAGAAACGAATTTCGTTATACTATCATACAAAAGTATGACTGTACAATGACATTAAAGATTTATCTTATATAATCTTGTCTCACATTTCCTGGTGCAACTGTGCAGAAGGCTCCATGGCCGCCTTCAGACCATCATGCAAAGAAACTACTGCCAAGAAATGCATCATAAAATTCACAGAGAATATAACTCAACAGCTCAAACTATAAAAAGGACGTGGACACGCCAAAATAAATATTTAAATTATAAACAAAAAAAGCCTGTCGTTGCTTGGGGCCTGGTGTTATTGTGTTTCTAGATAAATTAGAGACAAGCTCCAGGCAAGTCTGTCCGCACTAATTAAAGCCAACAAGGGAAGATTAAGTGAGCTACGATGAATATATTAGACAAGTTAGCATAGTTTACCAAAACTATACAAATATCTTCATTTTACTTACCTTTCTCCAACACACGTCAGCTGCTCGATCTCCGTCATGACTTCTGCTATCTCAAACTTCAACCTCTAAGAGAGAGAGAGCACAATAGGCCACAGTTGTTGTTTTTTTCTTTATGTTAGAACAAGATAAAGCACACAGCATGAGATGGGACGTAGAATGAACTGTTTGCAGCGGACAGTTCATCACTTTTTATGAGCAAACTGTGTGTGGAAAGACGCACAGTGCTGTCTGTAGGTTTATTTGCATTACTTACTGCATGCAAATAGACCTACAGAGCTGCAGCAGATGGGCAAAGAGCAAATAAAAGGCCAAAGATTGTGACTAAAATGCAAGTTGACTTTATCAAATTCATTCCACAGTAACAATATCAATCCATGACGTTTATTGGGAAAAAAACGGATTGCTGTTACGTGAACAGAGGCCTTCCCAGAGCATCCTGTAGATATCCTGTACACACACACCTCAATATCATCGAGCAGCTCTCTCTTCCTCCGTCGGATGTTTGATAGCTCATCCCTCTCCTCCAGGGACAGATCCTCCGGAACTGCAACGCATGATGGAGAAAACACAGCAGAACTTAGAGTCTCATTTGTACAAGGCTCACCTCGCTATTTTCATTTAGCTTTTATTGCATCCTACACAACAACAGAAAGGAAAGGTCGCAAGAAACAGCATTATCAAAAGGTTGAGGAAAAACAGAAGCGACCTTTAACCCAATCTAGTGTATATGATGTTAAAATGAGAAATCTGTAAAAATAAAAATAAATGTTGAAAATGTGGCAGCAAAGGTGAAAGAAAAAAAATACATAAAAAATAGTGGAATACTGTAATGACCAAAAGTGTCAAAACTGTACTTATAATAATAATCCATCCATCCATTATCTATACATCGCTGTCAGTCCTCACTAGGGTCGACTGGAGTCTATCCCAGCTGACTCAGGGTGAAGGGAGGAGACACCCTGGACAGGTCACCAGTCTATCACAGGGCTACACTTAGAGACAGACAACCAAGCACACTCACATTCACACCTACGGACAATTTAGAATCACCAATTAACCTCAACATGTTCTTGGACTGTATGGGAGGAAGCAGGAGAACCTGGAGAGAACCCATGCTGCACGGGGAGAACATGCAAACTCCACACAGAAAGATCCTAGGTGTCCTCAGTGGGACTCAAACCGGCGACCTTGTTGCTGCGAGGCAACAATGCTAACCACTGAGCCCCCTGGCAGCCCATAATAATAATAATAACAATAAAAATAATAATCATTACATTTTTAAAAATCAGTGAAATAATTACATTGTAACAGAACTAGAAAAATCTGTGAAACAATTTTTTTTGTGGTTTTTTTCATGTTTGTTTGTTTTTACCATTTTCCAATCCTTAATATGCAAAATTTGTCTTTGTGATAATGGTACATATCTATGAAAGACTGATAGTTTGGTTAATTTAAATACAGGAAAACAGTGTACTTTTTTGGTTACACGCTGTGAAAGAAGTAATTTGGAAAAACACTGATTTTTTTGATGTGGACATTATTTACAGTTTTAACCATATATTTTTTAGAGTCAGCATGTAAAATACTTACTTTAATGATTTCAGCTATAATTTTACAAAACAGGGAAAATCTGTAAAATAACACTTTAAAAAAATTTACCATTTTTTAAATCCTTAATAAGACCTAATTTTTCTATAAACAATCACAAATATCTGGAAGCGAAAAACATTTTTGTTGATTCAAATACAAGAAAACAGAATAATTTCATGGTCACACATTACAAAAGAACTAATTACCACTTGTGAAAATACAGATATTTGGTGTGGACATTGTTTACAAGTTTGGAAAAATAACAATTATAAACTGCTAAAATGTTCTTTTTTCACAGTTTACAAAGGCTCACAGGCCACAGATGCAAAACAGGAGCTGATCCTCCTCACAAAGCGAATCGACGAACAAATGAGTGTTGCGTGTCTGTTTCACCTTGTTGAGCTGAGCAGCGGATATCAAGAGCCGGCCTGTTCGTCTTAATTAACTAGAGAAACAGAGAAGGCTCTTAATTATTCCACTTGAAAGTGTTTTGCCCCTTCCCTCCTTCTCCATTTGGCTCAGGGGATAATTCTATTAATAAAACCAATCCAGATTAAGTTTTATTTCATTAAATGTGAATTTTGGCAATTTAACGCAGCCTACGACCTCGACTCCCCGGCCGACGCTGTTTTACAGCTCTGGGCTAAAAAACGAGCGAGAGAGGAGGATGGATCGCTTTCTTTTTAGTCCTTCCTCCCTCATCTCTCTGTTCTAATCTTGTTTCTTCTATCTGTCTCTCCTTCATTCACCCACAGTTTTCTCCATCTTCTCGAAGCAAAGAGGGCCCTGCTTCATTAAGCCAGCTTAGAGGCAGAAAACTCAAATCTCTCAACAGGAAAATGGCACATCTGATATCAGAGGCAGCTTTGTGCCTACATGTTGCTAAAGGAAGGAAGAAAAGAGAAAAAAAAAAGCATCACTTGTTATTTTCCCTCACAGGCGGGGAATCTGCGCCAATTAAAGTAAAACAAGGTCGCTGGGCTCAAGAGGAAGCATTCAGCCCTCTTTTAATATGACAGCTTGTAAAGGAGTTGCGTTCAGGGCAGCCGCGTATTGTTATAGACGGCATTCACATTAACAATGACACAAAAGGCCCTTCCTAACCCGGTTATGTAATCCTGAAGCACCGTCACGAGGGTCAGGTAAGAGGGAGAAACAGCTCAGGGATTTCCTTTGTGGGCCGTGTTTTTAACCCACAGCGGAGGGGGAATGCGGACGCACGGTGACCGAGAGTATGAAAATAAAGATGTTAATTAGTGCGGCTAACCTCCGGCTACCTCGCAGCGCAACACAACTGTGAGCGCGGCTTTAAAGCCAATTAGTGCTCTCCAAAAGTTCCAAGGCTGTTTCCACATGATTCTTTAATGTCGTACTTGAGCAGTGTTTTCTAAGTTTTTTGGCTTATGAGCGCTCAAACTTGTGTCGCTCACACAACGGGAGAAGCTGAGATGAAGATGTGTTGTTGCTGTGCTGGGTTTTAATGGGCAAAAGCAACAGTTTAGGAAAATACTTTAGTTTGCTTTCTTGCCAAGATGTTATATAAGAGGACTGAAATCACTCCAGTAAAGCTGCTGTTTCCTGCTTCCATTCATTGTGCTGAACCATTAACTGTAGCTGCATATTTAATGGACAAGAGCACCAGCAATTTTCTCATCTAACTCTCTGCAACATTTCTGGGGAACAATGTGAGCGTTCTAACTTTAAATGTCACATCTTTGACTCAGATGCTACCAGCACCCTGGAGGGTTGGTGCATTTTCTACCTTTCTCTCTACAGGATCCCACTTCTTGGTTCTGAATGGCCCGAGGTTTAGGCACACATTTCTACAAATGATTCATGAACTGGTGTGACTTAGATCACGCACTAACACATCCAACTGCTTTTTTTTTTTTTTTTTGTGCTGCACACACCCGGAAGATTTTGCAGCAAACATTAAAACTGGGTCAATTCAAAACAGTGATCACAGACTGAGCTGCTTTTGATTGCAACTGTTTTTTTTTAACTGTGCTCTGCTGCTTGTTAATCAGTGGCCTATTTATTCTCTTTGGACTCTCGACACTGAAAAGAATAACATGCCCTCGATGGTTCTTCGAGATTTAAATAAATGTTGAATAAATGACTGACTCTGTACTTTCTCTCTTGAGAAAGTAATTAATCCATTATTTTCAGCGTGGGAGGAGCAGATTACCTGTAAACACCACCGTGTTTTCACAGCTTTGAACTGGCTCAACCTAATGGAGAGAGCTCAGCCAAAAAGTGTAAAAAAAAAAAAAAAGAAAAACTTTGCCAACGGCATTTTGCACAACATGGCGGATCATCTAAGTAGGTTAACTTGGCTGTGTTATGTTTCTCAATGCTGAGATTTAGTTGATGTGAAGTGCACACTGGTTGGTTGATCATTTTAGTCTAAAATAGCAAGGATGATGGTGCATTATGCTGTAAATACATGTTTATTTAGACTGATAAGGTAAGTTCTTTATTTTCCACATGATCAATCAACTGGTTGAAGAGGAAGTACGATTTCAGTCAACCAAATGTTTTCTGGTTGACTTCCGCCCTGTGCTAATCTAAGATGCAAAATATTGAGAGCATTATCGGCAAAACAGGAGCAGATAAAGAAGTTCATGTGGTGTACAGCTTTATGCTAGTGTGCATCAAATGTGAATATCTTCCATAAAAGTGAGCTGAACACTTTGGAGTTTTGCTCAGACGACACAATCAATCCTTTCCATTTACTGACAACTTATAGTCTACGTTAGCAGTCAATAGTTGAGAAAACAATCAATAGATTCATCAATAATGGGGAAAAAATAATTAACAGGTTCAGCCCGAATTTTAGGATCCTTCTTTGCCGTTTGAATAATTTGCCCGGAGGAAGATGATGTGCGAGCAGCAGGCAGCTCCATGTGTTCCATTAGCCTAAGGCTGTGCATTAGCTAATGGAGAGATCCAGTGGCTGCAACAATGTGCATGATTACAATCTTGATTCATTACAAATCTAATGAAAAGCAGAAGATGCTCCCTTCAATAAAAGCCTACTGCCATTAATGGCAAAGCATTACCACTATCTTCCAATCCAGGTCTCTCTCTCTCATTGGATTGGCTTTAATATATGTCTTTTAAACCACACATTTGATAATACAGGGGACTAATAAATCTCTAATGTCTCTGTTCCAGAAGGTTCTCTTGTGCAGTGGTGGGCGGCTCCTCCACAGAGGTGGTCCACCAATTACTTTATTAACAGAGTTCCCTCCAGTGACCTTCTATGACTCACTCAGGAAATGAGTTTAGTGTCTTCAGCGAGCACAGGGGGAGTCGAGGGGTCAAAGCTGGTCGCTGCCGTCGTATTGGCTCAAACCAAACAGCAGCTACGCTCGAATGATAATCTACTAAAATCAGCTACAGCGTGAGTCACTGCTTCGTAGTAAGCAGCAGAGCTACAGAGGGTCAGATTGAACGACAGTGAGGTAGCTGGAGCTCATCAGTCGCTGGTTTTAGTTTGCATCTGAGCAGAAAACTAGAAATATTTTACCTTTCGTGACCTCTAAGAGAAATCCACGCTAAGCACGCTGTATGGGGTGCTGGGCTGAGAGGCTCCAAAGGGTTTAAACTCCAACATGTGCACAACAGAACAAGAGGTTCCAGTAATTTCGCCCCCTAAAAACAAAATCCCTCAAAATCTACTTTTAGCAGTAAATCCCCTGCTGCTCTTCACACCCAAAACCAACAACTGTCCCTGACCACCCACTGAAACCAGAGGCTTTGATGGAATAATGCAGGAAATGCTTTGACAAACCATTTCCAGTGCGCATTCAGTTTCACAACTTGTACAATGTTGGTTTTGGTCACATGTCTGCACATGTTTAAGCCCGGACAGAGAGCAGAAAAAAAAATTTCCCAGGTTATGAGCACTGGTTCAAGGATTTCCCGAAAAGCGGCATTCATACTAGCAGT